ATCCATGCAGCATACACTGCGGGATCAAATTGATTCCTACAAGGACACTTCGAAGCCTATGTGTGTACTAGTTGGATCTATTTGGGTACTTGGACCCTTAGGGGTTTAGGGAACTAAATCCTAAACCCTAAACCCTAAACCCCAGCAACCTCAGGCTGCGAACCCATCTCAGGATCAGACAGCAGGACCCCACTGTCTCACCTCACTGCCGGATTGCAACTCGTAGATGGCGAATCTTTGGACGGGTAGGGCTTCTTAAAGACCTTTTTCCGTCTACCGGACAGTTAAGGTTTAGGGTTTAGGGCCTTGCAGTTTAACATGTTTGGTTTGGCTAATTCGTAGCCGCGCCACTACAGGTTGCACCGTGAAAGCCCTTGCAAGGAGGCAAATTATGTTGCAACGAATATCAGTATGAGCGCATTCCACCCTCTTCAGGTGAACCTTCCCATTACACTCATGTCTTGCGTGAAGTAGCATGCAGCATTCTAGAGGGAAATGGCTCTTGTGTCCATGCCACGGGGTTAGTGTAGAAGGAAATGTGGACGTCAAGAGCTTGGATGGTAGTCTGTGCGCATATTCTGAGTCTACCTCACCTAAACAGGGTTAAGGTTTTCAGTTTTGACCCCTCCGCTAAGAAGCCCTCTCCGCACTGTAAATAAAACTTTTCCAACTTTTCCCAAGATAAAGTGCTCCTTAAAGCAAATAGGATATGGGGCATATGGGGATCATCTTGTTATCATATACCCAATGCCACATTTTGTCTACTTAATGGGGACTATAGACTGGCACCGTCATCAGAACATTAGTTCTTAGGGGACAATGCGCAAGCCAAAGTCAGGGAAACCAACTCACAAGGTGCAGGTTGCACAAGCACAGTTGACAGTTTAGGGCTATGGCTTGGCTGGCTGCACAGGTTTCCTTGAAGCCGGCGAAGCCTTTGTAATAAGCCCCAAAATCTTCACCTTAACCCGAGGGCCCTAAGCCTCAAAAACCTAGAAGAGACAAGCTCCTCCCAGAACACCCGAATCCCTAACCTCCCCAACCCCAACCTCTAACCCCAACCCTCAAGAGCTCACACAAAAGCTTGAAGGAATCCCTTGAGGCGCCAGCCAGCTCCCAGAAGGAAAGTCTGTCCATCCTCTGGTGAAGCGAGAGGAGCCACGGCGGCCTCAGCAGAAGAAGTTGGAGGTTTAGAGGGGCTTGTGGTTTGTGGGTTTGGTGGTTTCGGGTTTGGGGCTTAGGGTGTTGAGTTTAGGACCAAGTTTGGGGGGATTAGGGCTGAGGGATTCAGACGTGGCAATTTATACTACTATATCCCGACAGAAGCCCTTTGGAAAACCAGTAGTAGGAGCGATGAATTTGGATAGCCTACCCCATTTGAAAGGACTATGCTGGGTGCCACCCTAAACCCTAAACCCCAGGAACCTGGATTGTTTTAGGGTTTAGGGTTCCTAGAAGTGTCCCTTGATCTTCCTGCCAGGTCTCCTATTTTTCCTTGCACAGAATACTATGAAAAACAACAACGCCATGCTCAAAATTACGTCCCCACCTTCCGTATAATCCCTCCTCTAGATCCCCCTAGCAACAAACCCCCCCTAATCACAAATTCTCCCCCATCTACCCCAATAATAACCAAACGCACACACACACACCCCAACCCCAATACTAGAGCCCCCCAATCTAGAACCACAATATGTGAAAGAATACTTAGTAGTAGAGGGGGTTGGGGGTCATCATTAAGGTGAGTGGATTACTTTAGGAAGTGCACAAAACGAATATTCAACCCCGAGCTTCGTCACCTGACTCTTTTCGCGAAGGAAGGAATGCAGCAGGATAAGGGGATTGTTTCTAAGTCACTCACAAGTCATCTTGGCCAAGTGCAATTCGGGACTAAGATCTTCACAGTTGTGGGCTTCCAAAATTGAGGCTCCCTTCTAAGCTAGAATACCCATAATAAGGATTTGTGTTGCAATTATCGTCTGTCGGGGTCTGATCTTAAGTCTTACGTCCCCACGTGTATGGCACCTACCTCCGCCCCCACCCTTACATATCTTTGCCGTCTACTTACTGGTGCTTGAAGGAGAGCGGGTGGATTCCTAGAACAATCCCTACAAAATCCTCATATGAGCTATTCGCGACGACAACATATTAGGGACTATACTAGACTACAGGAGGGACCCCTATGTCCACCCTCAATGGTGCCTTGGGAAGGCCAATATTGACAATAGCTCATACATACCCCTGTAACTGGGTTGCTTTGAAGGAACTTAACTTAAGTTAAGCTACCACATGGGTATTTTGTAGTCAAATCATAGGCTTTCCTCATAATAGTAACTAGATTTCAATTCCTTAGCACGAACCCAGATAATGCTTCCTACATTCACGCCCCCTTAAGCAACAGCAGGTCTAAGCTGCGGCAAGACACGAGCATGTCTGAACATTGAACCCTCTGCTGTGCTCCTGCATCCTCAGCAACCTACCAATGCGAAAAGGTAGGTTTAAGGCTGAGGGTTTAGGGTTTGGAACTTAGGGTTCAGGGTTTACCCAGACCCTCCCATGTAGTTCATTTTTGGGTAGTATATTATCATCCCTTACACAAAAGCCCATAACAAACCCGAAGATGAACTACATTGGAGCTCTTGGGTAGGGCTTGGTCGTCGAGTTTAGGACCTGAGCCTGCCCTGGCCCTTACGCCTTTCCTCGCATGCTGGCAACGCAAATACAATGTTGTCTGGCCCCAATCCCTTCTCTTGATGGAAACACCGAAATATCTCTAACCTCCCTGCAAGTCTTCTCTATTCCAATCCTTGAGCAACCAAATACTAATCAAACTGCAAAGCCAAGACCTTTTGAACCTTACACCTTCAAACCTTCAACCCCCAACCCTGAAACTGAAAACCTACAACACAAACTCGAACCGCTTAACCATAAAACTCTGGAAACGTTGGGCGCCACACGGATCGCTGGGGGCCTCCTGGCAACACAAGACAAACGACAGTGGATTCGAGGGCTTCGGACATCCGGGCTTTGCAGTTTAGGCTCCGAGTTTCGGGCTGAGGGCGTTGTGGTAAAAATCTGAAATTCGAGATTTGGGTTCTGGAGTATATAGTCCCCCTTAAGTAGATAGAATATGGCTTTGGGCATATTAGAATAAGATCCCCATATTTACCCTATATTCTATCTACTTAAGGGGCATTATATCTACTAAGGCGGGATTGGAACATGGTACTTCAGGAGAATGACTTGAGGAACAAGAGGGATCACCCTCCCCATGTTTGCGAGCTTCTGTTTTTCCTACTCTGCTGAGCAGAGCTCAGCGTCCCGAAAAAATCAACCTTCATTCCCATGACTCAAAACAACGCATCCCGGAAAAAATCTGAACATACATGAACATACTGAACACAGAGCCTCGAACCATACCTAGCCCCTTCATTGGTGATACAACGATCCAGAACCGATCAACCCACAGGTCCTCTTGGCAGGTACTGCCTTGAATGGGCAGGTGTGCACACGCCATATCAAACGCCTCATGCATACATGACTCATGCCCAAATACTGCAAAGACCAACCGAGTCGAGTCTAGGGCACGGTCTCATGGACGCAGGTGAGCAACGACTGTTTGGCTGCATGTTCCGACTTTGGGAGCTGCCCTTACTAAACGAACATGGAAACCGGTATAGCCCCCTTCTGAACAATAGCCAACATGCACCCCCACACTGGGGTTCCACGTTATGTTGGGGGAAGGGTATGTGATGAGAGTGAGCACATCCCTGAAATACTCACTGAGCAGTTGCGAAATCTTCCTCCGCCTACGTTTTGTGAAATTCATCCCAAGAAGGGCTCCAAGCTCTTCACTTCAGCCCACCTTAGCCCTAAAACGCTGATGAGGGCCCGTTCCCCTGCTTGTTCGAGAGGGTCTGCATCCATACCTCAACCCTGAAACCAGAACCTGCACTGTAGCCCTGAAAACTTTAACGACTCTACCAGCTCAACACCATAAGTCCTAAGACCGCAAAATCCCAAGCCCAAAATCCAAACCTTCAACCCTAAACCCTAAACTCTAAACTCTAAACCCTAAACTCTAAACCCCAAACCCTAAACCCTGACATCCCAAACTTCGACACCTCCATGGCTTCGTAATCGATCTGTCTGTCCTGTACCTGTCAGGGCTTGGGGGGTTTAGGGTGTAGGGTTTAGGGTTGAACGTGGGACCCCATAGGGCTTCGGAGTGTATCCCTACAAGTCCAAGGACCCAAATAATTGGATTTTAGGGCCCAAATACCAGTACTCTTATGGTATCTGGGCCCTTAAGCCCCATTATTTGAGTCCTTGGACCCTTAGGGTATGGTTTACCTAAATTTTCTGATGTGATACCTTCAGAGAGGTGGTCCAAATTATGATGCAACACAGAACAGGCTGAAAAAAGAAGCTATATACGCTCTCTGCTGTAATCTTGAGCCCTACATGACCGACCCCCTGTGCAACCCAAAAACATCACTGGAGTTTGGGACCTAGGGCTGTAGACGCTTAAGCTTAGTCTCCAAAGCCCGTACACCCCGAGTCCCAAGGACTAAACCCAAGACCCTCATCCACAGCCCTAGACTACATAAAGGCTCCACGTAAGCGCTAGACCAAAATCTCATGGCCAAGGGGATGGGGTCCTAAGTAGGTTAAATTGTGTGAAGTAGGAGCACGGTTCGGATGCAGGGTCAAAGGTTACGGCAACTGGGGCTTCGCAGTTCGGCAGGGACCTGTTGGCAGCTAACACTGCGCCACAAAAAGGGTGCCCTTCAGGACTCTACCCTAAACCCTAGAAATACTTGGAGATTGCAAAAGGTTGCTTGCACCCTGAGCCTCTAATAGGAAGTCAATTCCTGCGTCCTAAGCCTTATAAGCCTACTAGTCTCGAAAATGGTAAAAAGGTCCGTAATCCCTGAAGCCCTATAGCGGTCTCTTTTTCGTGATGTCTGAGCCCCTTCCGCACGCAGTATCTGCGCGACTTCCTCTTGGTTGGCTGAAACAGCGCTTGTCAGGGCACTATGTCCATCACTGTCCTGAGAAGTTTGGGGCTGAAGGCTTAGAGTTTATGGGTCTCAGGCTCAGGGTTGCGGGTTGCGGGTTGCGGGTTTAGGGTTTTAGGGTTTAGGGTTTAGGGTGGGTCTGGGGTCAAGGACGTAGTGAGATCACCGCCTCTGCTTGACAGTTCTCCACCCCTGCTGATGGCTGATGCGATTACGATCAACCGTGGGGCGATGCGCGCGGATACTGCTGCAAGAGTTACGTTCGGATTGCTTTTGCTGCTCCAACCTGGCTTCAAAGCCTTTAGACTCCTGTAACTCCTGCGCTGCAATGCAGTCAAGTGGATGAAGCGGCAACATGCTAGGCTTCCAGAAGCTGGACATCATTGTCTCAAGACATGAACAGGCCTGCGTCTAGAATTCCTCTACACGAGGCCGCGCGCGTAGCGGAGAAGGGGACCCCAGCTTCGAAATACAGAAGGATCCACTCAAGAGTAGAGCATCTAGCACATCTCTTTGTTACTTTCTGACTTTGCTTCCTTAATGTGTTTTTACCATTACCTGGACGTCTCAAAGCCAAGAACTTTTATTCAAGGAATCCTCACCGCAGACAGCTCACATGCTAGTATGACGTGGAAGGACTACATGCTCCGAGAAGCAAGTTTTGCTGTTCAGGCTTCAGGACAAGTGCAACAAACGAGCTCTAATCTGGGTTGCTGTTAAGGAACTTAAATTAAGTAACTATATTGGGGAAACCCTATTATTTACTATATATACCCATTATGGTAACTTAATTTAACTTCCTTAACAGCAACCCAGTAATGCGTTCTCGCGTCAACCATGTCCACGCCGGCCCTGGCCTCCAGCAGATACCGCACAACTTCAACATTGCCCCTCTCGGACGCCTGGATCACGAATTCTTTACATTTGTGCCAGAATGCGAACTTAGGCTCTAGGTTTTCGGGATCTAAGGTGTAGGGCAAGGGAATTTCTGTCATATCCCGTCTTTTGTCGAGAGCAGTCATTCCGCAAACGCTTTTCCATATCATGGCCCAGATTCATCCATGAGCGCGTCACGGCCGACCTTGTTTGCTGAGCCAGTGTCCGCAAAAGCAGCCAGCAACAGCCGAACAATCCTGCGCTCTTCGGCAAAGTGCTCTAGTATATTATAGTATCTTACTGTATACTACAAATACTATAGTATAACAGAATATATTTGACTACATGGAAGTATGTATGAGCCATGAGCAGGATAGCATGTGCAAGAATAGGCCAGGACCGCACTATAAAACAACAACATGATGCAAGAGGACTCCAACCCAGCGGTTTAGCTCTTCACTGTGTGGATTCCATCTAGTAGTACCTCATGATCACAGACTTCCCCAAACCCTAAGCTATAATTCCCATCGCAGCCCCTAGAATAGCCCTCAGAATCCCATTTCCTAGCCCCTGGGAGTTCTGGCAATGCACATGCCCGAAGGTTTTGATCGAAGTCTTCATGTCAATCCAAACCCTGATCCCTAAGAGCTACTTGACTGGACCATCTCCCAAAAGGGAGTCCATCGTGCGCAGCCGCGAGTCCCTACCGCGCCGAACCACCAGTTAACCCTAAGCCCAAACACAGAACCCCAAACCCCGAGCCCCAAACCCTAAACACTAAACCCCCTAAACCCTAAACCCAAACCCTCTAACCCTAAACCCCAAACCCTAAACCCTAAATCCTAAACCAAACGAGGCACTGAAGGTAACCCCAGGCCGATGCATGTGTCAGTGCGGCATCGCCATCTTTGTCGACCAAGGAAGTCTCTGCCCGTGCCTGAAGTGATCCCTTCATGCTAAGCTTAAACACCCCTACAGCCCTACGGATTTGGGGTTTAGGGTTTAGGGTGTTGTCAAATATGTTCCCCAATTTAGAAGCTCTGTTATGGGGAATGGGGAATGTTTGAACATCATTATGAAGGGATTAGTATGGCATTGGCCTCTACAGCCCAAATAATAACGCAGACCCGACATTTGATTGCATACACACATCAAGGCTGGATACCTTTTCAGATCCCCTGCCTCAAGAAGCAAGCGCGCAGTCTCCCCATAGTTCCTCACAGGTTTACCCAAGCCCTGGGGTTGAAATGCGATTTTCATAAGATCTTCGGCGCCCCCTCTTTGGGATTAAGCATGCTTCCCCTCCATATTAGGGTGCATAGAAGTACACCCAGAACTGTCATAACAACTCCCGCGTGTCAAGGACTCTCTAGAAAGTAAGACATCCGTATGCAGGCTTCTAATATACCTCATACCCTAAACCCCCTAGACCCCTAAACCCCTAAAACCTTAACCACCAAAAAAAACAAAACACCTTAACCCTAAAACTAAAACCCCTAAAACCTCAACCTAGGATATTGAGAGCTAGAAGATCTTGCGGACTCACCTCTAGGCCCCGAACCCTAAAAGGCGTGGCCCAAACGATTTTCGAAGGCTACATAAGAGAGGTCTACTGCGGAGGGTGGTACCAACCAAGCAAGTGACCCCAAAGGGGCCGTGTGCAGAGGATATAACTACTTTGCAGCCCAAGTATATGCTACTTGTATATGATATAGCTAAATTGAGCCTTGGGAACTGTAGTGACTATACTTTGCTGATCCGACTATTGGTTGCGGAAGGTTGATGCAGTGACCATCAACAGCTCAGAAATCTTCCTCCCTGAAAAAACATTGGTACCTCCATTGTTAAGTTGTTTGGAGCGCGGAAAGATTGCATCCGACCGTCCTGACTGATGCAATGATCAAGGCAGTGTTGCCATCATTGTCAGCCAAATCCATGCAGGCACGGGATTCCAATAACAAGCGCACGATCTCAATGTGGCCTGAAGCACGCGGCCATGAGCAAATCAGGGTTTAGTGTTCAATTCAGGGGGGATCAAACCTTAAATTGCTATAGCCATTCCCACCTGAATTATCAAACCCTGAACCCTAAACCCAAACCCCAAACCCGAGATAAATGGAACATGAGCCATGGCAAGCTCCGCCTGTGACTCGGCTCATTTAGGGATATTTAGGGACCAACTTCAGGGTTTGTTAGGGTGGAACCTTTTAGAGGGGGGGGGGTAGGGAAACCGTTTCCTCCTAGCCAAACCACAAAAAAAACCCTGGTCCCTGATTGTTGGCACATACCCAGATCACCTCGATCAGACGCGCAGTAGAGGGCTGTTCGACCTTGACCGACTAGAGTGCTGGGCTTGAATATGACCTATAATCTAAGGTTTAGGGTTTATACTGCTAGTATCCCCCTTACCAACCGCTGTAACACTTTCCCTATATGACAGCACCCTTCAAGGAGTTTAGACTATAGCTCATATGAAGGGCCCAGGGCTTGTGGCTAAGCGTTAAAGCTTGTGGTCTCCAACTATAGCAATGTCGGCACTTTGAACCTTGGGGCCAAAGCCCTAAACCCTAAACCCTAAGTAGGGCTGTGGATGGTGAGTATGTTGCGTGAAATGCTAATGGAGTTGCCGGCTGGCCAGTGTGAGCCCGAAAAGAACGCCGTTCAGGGCTTAGGCTTAAAGATTTACGATTGAGGATCCGCGGTAGGCAAACATGTGTCGTCTACGAAACTGACGTCACGTGACCCCACCCCAAAGTACCTTGCAAGGAGTACGTCCTCTTCTGCGTTTTAAGGGGACAACAATGTCGCAAAAGTTCAAATAGTCATAATGGTGTTTGGGGGTTGTTAGGCTGTAAGTATACAAGGATTGCTTGAACAAATGTTCTCTGTACATTTTTCAGGCTCTCACAATAATTATTCGGAACTCCTGCCCCTGCCCTAAACCCTGAACCCCATACCCCAAACCCTAACCTTAGGGATCCAAATAGCCCAATGTAGCTTATGTTTGTAGACTCTGGGGCCCCATGTAGATATATTTTGTATACCCTAAACCTTGAATCCTCCCTAAACCCTAAATCCTAAACCTTAGGGTAAACAGTGACTTGCCACCGGCATGGTTGGCCAAATCCTTGTGCACGTCATCCTTCAAGAGCACCTGTGTGGGTTGCGGTTAACGAACTTAATTTAAGGTAATGTACAAAGGAAACCCTACTATTTACAATATATATATATATACATACCAATTATGGCAACTGAATTTAAGTTCCTGAACAGCAACCCAGCTGTCTGGGTTGTGGTGAGGTGTACATGACGTGGCGGGTTAGGGTTTAGAAGTTCAGGTCTACGTTTTCAAGTTCAGGGTTTCAAGATTAGGGAGTTTATACTTATTCTCGCTACTGACAATCGAAATGTTTTTGTCCTTAGATGATCTAGGGTTAGTTATCAGGAGCTCCCTGCGGAAACAAGAGGGGCCCACCAGGAAAGTTCATCCTGTACCAAGACATCCCAAAGCACCCGCACAGTGTCTGCATGGTTGTTGGAAGCTGCGCATATGAGAGCTGTGTCACCTGCGGAATCCGTCAGGTTCTTCTGAGCTCCTGCCCCCAGCAGCAAAACCACAATATCAACGTGGCCCTGCTGACTGGCGTGATGTAGAGCTGTTCCTCGGCTTCAGTTCGATATGTGCATGGCATCGTGATACAGCTGCATAGTCAGAATGTAAATGTCTTGCATTCCTGTTCTTGTTGAGACACTTAATCACAGTCGGGTGATGGCTGCATCCATGACCTTTTGTTGTATCCATCTTGGTGCTGCATAGGACTTCCGAGAAGATGTGAACCTTTATGAAGATTCCAGGAACATAGATAGCATACCATACATGGCAGTGAGGCCTGACGCTAAAGCCGGCTCAATCGGCCCTTCAAACCCAATCCCCCATGTATGAGGCGCTGCTCGCCAAAACGTCTCCGCTACACCCTCAACCCTGAAGCCTATGCCTTGAACTGCATAATACGAATGGCAAACTGCAATCCCCCAACATTGGACTATCTAAGTATCATGCAACCATGTTGGGGTTGCAATCCTTGGGGGTTTGGGGTTACCAAAACCCCCTAATTACTCCAAGCCCGTCACTCCTTGGCCGAAAGTCTGCTCTCTTAATCCTCTGAGCTTCTTCAAAGAGCTTTTTCTAAGGGATGTGATACTGTAACGCCTTACATAAGCTGAATCCACAATTTTGAGATAGGACCCGCTCATTCATTTAGTGCGACCCCGAAACTCTATACCCCACTCCCCCAAATTTTTGACCCTAAACCCCAAACCCCCAGACTCTCAACCCTAGACCAAAAAATCTCCACCCCGACTCTGAGGCCCTGAAATCTACACTCCCCAACCCCGTTAACCCTTAACCCTAAACCCTAACCTTCTTAGGAGCAAGGGCGCTTCCAGCGTGGTTCACGTCAACGGTAGCCGCTGCCTCGAGCAAGAGCTGCACGACTTCAACGTGATTGTTTGCAGCTGCACAACCTGTAAGTTTGGAAGTTTAGGGTTTAAGGGTTGTGGTTTAGGGTTTGAGGTTTAAGGTTTGTGGCTTGGGGTTTGAGGTTTATGGTTGTGGTTTAGGGTTTAGGGACTCAGGGTTTAGGATTTAGGGTTTAGAATTTATGGGTTTAGGGTTCAGGGTTGAAGGTCTGGGGATTAGGCGCTCCAATTATGGGTATTTGGGAGAAGCAGGTAAGGTTAGTAGGCCTCTCAGGCTGTTTTCAGTGCTTGGGGCAAGGTTTTTACCTGCTTTGGGGCTCCAGGCAGTCGTTTGTCGGGGTTCTTAGAGATCATACTGTTACGTTTGTTGTGGGGTTTGTTGGGTTGCCTCAATCAGACTAGCGATTTCCCATAACGACCCAGCTTAGAGGGCTTGGGGTTGAGAGTTTAGGGTTTACGGTCCAGGGCTTGTGGTTCAGAGACCTAGCATACATACTCTCCCTAAACCTTATAAGCCCTACAACCCTGAACCCTAAACGGCAAACCCTGAGCGTCCTCTAGGCTGACGTGAATCTTCGGGGTGAACGTCTCAGGTAACTTGTGCTAGTTCCCAAATGCCCCGGCCACTCTCGCATGCCGTGGTAGAGCTATGTCACGTTCCCCCGAAGATGGAAGTCTACCCAAGAATGACCCCAAACCCTGAAGAGTTCCTATGCAGATACCTGTATACGCTGTTTAGATACTTGAACTTTATGGTTGGGCAGTATGTCAAACTCGATTTACTTCTCCGTGTTGCAGGGACACCCTACTTAGGCTGAACGCAAAGAGTTGGTAAGTCCATGAAACCTCTGAAATGAGGCCATGTTAAAACGATTTTGTAAGTGAACTGCTGCTTTGGGTGACCCTGAACTCTGAACCCTAAACCCTCGAGTGAGCTCGCTATACCTCGCACAGAAACAGAGGGCCGTGTCACCATCGTTGGCAACCAAGTCCGTCTGAGCTCCCGTGTCCAGAAGCAAGCGGACAGCTTCGATGTGACCCCTCTCTGACCTGAGTCGTATTTTGCGGGGGTTCAGGGGATGGGGTCGCACCAAAAATGGGCAGCGTGATGGTCCAAAACACCGAAAACAGTTGAACAAGGCAATTATTCTAGATACTCTGGGGCGGTAACTTCAAATTCCCTAAACCCGTGCGAGGCTTCGAATTGAAAAACTGTTTACTGCATATAGAGCCCTGCAATATAATTTGTTGTCTTGGGAATAGAGACCAGGATTTCGTAGTTCGGGCCTAGGGTCCATGGCATCGAACAGGCCGCAACTCCGACCCCCAACAACAACAAGGGATATTCCAGGAATCCAAGCATTCATTGAGACTTGAAGACCCCCTCAACTTCACAGCTTCTACGACAGGTTAGGTGCAGAAATGGAGCGCATCGGATGACCCGAAAGTACAGCTAAACTATCCTGGTTCCGTTGGGGATCTGCAGGTTTTGGTTTCGGGCACCTTTTCCAAAAGATTGAAGTCAGTCCCTTTCTGATTGAATAACACTGGGGGCAATAAATGCCAAATTTGCAGCCAGATGATCACCGCACAAGCCGTGCTATGTATGAACAATAGTACTATCAGGTACTGCTATGTAGGGATCTAAGGAAGAACTAGAAAAGTATTCCTGGGGATTATGTAACGTGCTTGAAGAGGAAGTCTTACCAAAAAAGGTGGGACATGGTGGCACACTTCTGAGGGAATACTGTCAGTGTTGCACTTCTTCAGTGCTTACATAATTGACCCGGCGACGCACAGAAAAGCGCCGTTCGGCCGGCCCGGTTCGGCAAGTCCTTGTCGGCACGCGCGCTTAGCAGCAGCTGCACAATCTCGGTCCGGTTGCATGCCTCGACTTGCTGATTGTTAGTAGGGAATGGAGAAATGGAAACCGGGTTGGAGGCCACTAATTATAGCGTTTAGCGTGTAGAGTGTAGACTTCAGGAGATGGTGGAGTGGATCCCTGGTGGCCCCAACAATGTGATCTTTTCCATCCTTGCTTTCCCTGCTAACAGCCGGCAAGTAGGTGGGAGTGTATGGGAGTCTCATCGCTGAACTCCAAAACCCAAAGCCCTGAACCCTCTAAACCCCAAAACCCTAACCCCCCAAAGGCCCCCCTAAACCCAAAACCCTAAAACCCCCCAATACCCCTAACCCCCCAAAGGCCCTAAGTTCACTTACAAAGGCAGGCCTAGATACCCTATAATAACCCCTATAGAATCCTAGTTTCCATGACATTTTCCATGTTCTTTTCTATTTGATTCTCCACTATTGGCCTAAATACAGATGCACATATCAGGGCCGTATCACCATCCTCATCGGTCAGGTTCTTGTAAGCTCCTGCCTTGCTGATGTAGAGTTTTGGGTTTAGGGTTTTAGGGTTTTTAGGTTTAGGGTTTAGGGTTTTTAGGGTTTAGGG